CCTTTCACCTCCCTTTGTCGGACTTATACGAGGGCACTTTGATTTGCCACATAAATATAATAACAAAGTTACACATATATGCATATGTTTATAATTACATTATTTTGATTGACTCTTAATTTAGCCGGAGCCCAAAATGAATTGTGTTCCTCTACTTAAATTTATTGTTCAATTATTTGTTATGAATTTAATTTATTTTTTATTTTATCTTTATTCATGAATCTACTTTGTGCAGCTGAAGAGAAAAGGGAAAAAATAGTCATTTTAACGTAGCATATATATCGGTGTGGGTATTAGTCCAATGGGCAATTATCCCAGTGGGGTCTTTTTTGTGGGCTTTTGTCTGGTCACTGCTGAAATCAGAGCTTTCAGTGCAGCAATCTGTATCTGGTAGGCCATTTTAAATGCAACAAGGGCTTCGTTTAAAATTGCTCACAAAGAAGAAAAAACCATTTGAAGACGGTAAGTTGCTGATGGAAGCATATCTTGCAGGTGCCGAAAGCCTTTTTGAATAAAAGAATGCAACAACGGCTTTGTTTAAAATTGCTCACTTGTTGGTGAAGAAGGAAAACCATTTCAAGAGGGGAGTTGCTGAAGGAAGCATTTCTTGCGGGGGCCGAAAGCCTGTTTGACGGATTCTCTAACAAGCATGAAATCATCAATGCAATTCAAGACCTTCAATTGTCAGCACTGTTTTTTTTTTTTTTAAGGAGAATGGAAGCAATTGCTGATGATATGCAACCTCAATTGAAGAGAGACTTGGGCACATGTAAATGGCTTTTCTCTCCAATTCGACGAGTCCACGGATATTTCCGATACGTCGCAGTTAGCTTTTATGATAAGAATGGTATTTAACGACTTCTCTGTTAAAGAAGAATTATTAAAAATTCTATTCTGAAGATGAGAACATGAGGAGTTCAGATTTACAACGTTTTTGAGACGTTTGCAACAGATATTAGCTTGCTGCTTAAAAAGCTACCTGCCATGACAGAAAAAACCAATGACTGTTCAAGAAAGACGATTGTTTTCCAAACTTCATGTCTTATCACTGCATCATTCATAAAGAAGTGTTGTGTGCAAAGATATTTCTATTTGAACATATCATGTATTAATTCAGAATTCAAACAACAAAAATCAGCATTATATTTTCAAATTTTCACAGGACTAGTTTCGATGGTTTTACTAAACCACCATCTTCAGCTGCAAAAGCACAAATGAACGAGATTAGGGTATAATGATTTGATAAGAAAAGAAAACCTGGACAGAAAATAAGCTAGTGGTGCAATCTGTTGATAAAACCAGAACTAAAACATAATTTCTTTAAAGGCCGAAGGCAAAGATGATTGGAATTAGGATCGTTAACTAGAACAAACATTTTTTTTAATGTGAAATGCCTCTAGAAAATCCAGTTCTCCAATGGAAGATGTTTTTTGAATAATTTTGGCAGCAGAAAAATTGAAAGTGTCATTTTTGGACCAACAGTGTGAGGCAACAGAAGACTTGTGTGTTTCCTTTTTTAACATATGCCTCATGTTACTTGACGCAAAATTTTAAGGCACTATTAGTTTGGCCAATGTAAGTTAAACCACACTGGCAAGGAATCCTATAAATACCCCAGGAATTCATATCCGGAATGGGGTACTTGAGTATGGAACTCAGAATTTTATTGATGGGAGAATAAACGACCCGAAAGTTAAATTTCTGCAAAATATGTGCAACTTTATAGCTAATTTGATGGAAAGAAGGGAATGACAACAGAATTTTTATAATCTCCTAAAATCCCTAATCAAGCAGTTAAAAAATTCTCATCTCAACACACTAAGAAGCACGCTCTTGTTTTAGGAAATTATAAAAATTCTGTTGTCATTCCCTTCTTTCCATCAATTAGCTATAAAGTTGCAAATATTTTAGAGAAATTTAACTTTTGGATCGTTTATTCTCCCATCAATAAAATTCAGAGTTCCATATTCAAGGACCCTATTCTGAATAGGAATTCCTGGGGTATTTATAGGATTCCTTGCCAGTGTGGTGTAATTTACATTGGCCAAACTAAGAGAGCCTTAAAATTTTGCGTCAAGGCATATGTTAGAAAAAAAGGAAACGCAGAAGTCTTCTGTTGCCCAACATTGTTGGCCCGAAAATCACACTTTTAATTTTTCTGCTGCCAAAATTATTCAAAAAATATCTTCCATTAGAGAACTTGATTTTCTTGAGGCATTTCACATTCAAAAAAATCTTTCTGTTCTAGTTAACGATCCTAATTCCAATCCATCTTTGCCTTTGGCCTTTAAAGAAGTTATGTTTTAGTTCTGGTTTAATCAACAGATGGCGCCACTAGCTTATTTTCTGTCCAGGCTTTTTTCTTTTATCAAATCATTATATCTTATCTCATTCATTTGTGCTTTTGCAGCTGAGGATGGTAGTTCGATAAAACCATCAAAACTAGTCCTGTGAACATTTTAAAATATAACGCTGATTTTTGTTGTTTGACTTTTGAATTAGTATTTGTTCGGCGTGTAATTGTGTCTTAATGTCATGTATGTTGTCACATCAATTATCAATTCTATTCGTGTGGCTCCTTTGCAAAACCGGCACTGCTAGAAGACTCCAAAGATAAAACAGTCAGCCTTGCATGCAGTAGTCTGATTGGTGGCTACTTGATCTGGCTTTCCTTGCGGATATCACTGCGAAATTTAACATTTTAAATCTGGATCTTCATGGTAAAGACAAGGAGCTGGCTCAAATGATGGGATCTGTGAAAGCTTTCAAAGCCAAATTGATATTATGGTTTTTCGAAATGAGATCAAAGTCCCTGGTTCATTTTCCAAACATGAAAATAATGGTGAATAACGACAATTTTCGGTTCCTGCGATTTTCTGGCCATCTCGAGATGCTTCTGGACAGATTTGAAAAATGATTTCAAGATTTCAGGTGCTTGAAGCCAGTGGTGAGCTTTTTTGTCAACCCATTCATCATTTATCATGAAGCAACTGAAATCGCAACTGCAAGAATTATTGCAGCAAAAGTGGAAAACCTCGAGCTGGAAATAGTTGAACTGAAGAATGGTATTATCCTGCAAGCACAGGTCACATGAAACTTGTGGAAAAGAACAGGTTTCCATGATTAAGAAGTAATACATATAAAATCATATCTTGTTTTGGGTCTACCTACCTCTGCTAATGTCTATTTTCAACCATGAATATTGTCAATTCAAAGAACCGGAGCAAACTCGCTGATTTGCATCTTGACAGTTGCTTGCGTTCATGGGCCTCAGCATATGCACCTAACATACATATGTTGGGGGACGAAATTCACTGTCAAAAATCACATTAAGTGCAACGCAATAAAAAGATGAACGACTATATTGTAAGTAATAAAAATTTTGTGCATGAAATGTACATTTTGTTTCTATCTCGATCCATTTTTCGATCTTCTTTAGGAGGGCACTTTTTTTTTCTTATCGGCTAGCATTAACTAGTAACGTGATATCTCCAAGGAATAGCCTGAATATCGCATGGGACGGAAATGTTATGTGGTGCCTGCTTCGCTTTCTGAAACTGCCTTGTGTGCCAAAAAAGCTTGAGTACTATTGCTCTATAGAGTATCAATATGTTGCCTTGGTCTGCTAGATTACCAGACATTTCTGTAATCGAGCATGTAAGGGACGGCATGTAAGATATTGGATGATAGCATTGGATGAAGCATGTAAGATATTGGATGATATAACTCCAGTGTCATCCACAACCAGCATTAAGTGACCTTGTATTGACGTACCAAGTACAATAGGCATGGAATTCCATGCCTCAAACTGACATACATCTGTACAACACAATACATTCAAAATTCTGCTGGTTATACCGGTTTATTAATGTACCAACATTTCACATTTGAAATGACTCAACTTGCGCTTTCCTTAACCAGTGATCTTGAAAATTGAATCAATTTAATGCTAACTTTGGCAAATGTATTGCCAAAATTTCATTAGTCTTCTATAAATTTTTATATATATATTATGGTTTAAAGTACTATTTCTATATAGCTTAAAATATTTTTACTACAATAGAAATCTAAATAACTATGCTTAAAATTCTAACTCTAATTTATTCCAATAATTCATTGCATTAATTTATGCTCCGTGGAGGTATATGGAAGAACCTTTTCTAATATTAAATTATATATATTATTTATTCTGATATTATTATGATCTTTATTTTCTCTCGGGGAGGGATTTTCATTAAGAATTTTTTTATTAATGAGTGTTAAGTATTTTTAGCCATCATAAGCTTGATCTTTAAAAAAAATAATAATAATCCTTGGATGTACAAAGCGAACATTAACACTAGGTTATTTTGTATGGAAAGGTAATATTGGGAACTAATTTTTATGTAATCGAAAATATTGGTTTCTTTTGTAAGTCATCTGCACAAAGTTCCTGATAGTTATTAGAAACTCTTCAATCAATAAAAAATAATGGCGTCCTTCCAGTATGCATTTGATGGCTCTAACACTAAATGATTTATAATACTCTGATGGCATTTAAAATTCAATTTTTTTCCCTGCGAGAAATTCTAAAGCTATTGCTTTTGACTATCTTTAGTGATTTCTTCATAAGTTCTAAGTAATTGTTTAAAAAAAATCAATAATTAAACCAATGGTGTGTCCTTAAAATCTCAGAACTTGATTACAATCATTTAAGATATATACAAACAGCCATTAACTACAGGACTTTCCTCAATGGAATCCTTGAGTAGTCTCGTAAGGTTTTCCTTGCCAGGGTCATCTAAAGGTGCCAGAAGTCAAAAATCCATGATTATTTCATTGATCAGAACTTTTATCTTGCCGAAATAGCCATTTTAGTTAGGATCTAGAATGTGAATTTTTTAAGAGTAACTATATTTTAAATTTTACATGTAAACTTGATTTGACTACCTTTTATAGTTTTCGTATTTGATCATTGCTAATTATTGAATTTTACATTCTGTAATTTTTTCCCCTTGCAGACTGTCAGCAAAAATAACAAGGTTCTGCAGTTATTGCATGCAAAAATGCGTGTCATTTTATGTGACAAGCGCACCTTTATAGGTGAATTTGTTGCATATGATAAACATATGAACCTTGTTCTGATTAACTGTACAGAATATAAAAAATATAAACCTTCTAAATCTAAACTCAAGGAGCCTATTGAAGTGAAGAAGACTCTAGGAGTAGTGATACTGCGTGGTGAAAGTGTCATGTCTATCATAGTGGAGAGTGAGGTATACTTTTAGTCCACATCTCTGTATCTATGATATTTTGAATGTTCTTTCTTAACTTATATGCATAATGTGACTTTTTATTACTTTTAGCCTCCTTCAAGATCCTCAAGTTATGGTGGTAAGTTTAATATTTTTTCTTTTGCTTCAAATTTCATTTTGTCTGCTAATAAATCAAGAGATGTGTTACATTTATTGCCGTTTTTAAAAACACATATATTTCAAAGTCCAAAATCCATAATTGTTAGGACTTCTGCTATTTCGAGTTTTAAAGTCCTGTAATTACCATATTGGCAAATCTTATAAAGTTATCGATTGAAATCATCATTTTCAGGATCCTCTGTACTGGACATTGTATTGATTCAGACTTTATGTGAAGAAATACTAGATCGCTGATACTACTTGCAGAGTAAAATTCAAAACATTAATTGATGAACACAGTATAACCACACAATTTTATACTGATTAACTCTCTGAAATAAATTAGCTTTCCTTTTCAATTCACTCATTTAGTGCTGATAGAAGCTTCATAGGAAATGGGTCGTACCACTTCGAAAATGTGTTTTCAGGAAAGTTGCCAAACTAGCAAGATGTCAGATGTGACCAGCTTGATTGCATATATTGTTGTCAAGCTTGTTTGGAGGTTTCTTGCTGTATCTCGTCTTCTAATTAAGCTGTCGTCATAATTTCATTTCAGAATTCATGTGTATTCAGATTTACAAGAATTTTTGAACATTCTATATGAAATAAATCCTTACAAATGCAGTATAGTGCTACAATTTTGATTAAACAAATACATACTAAAATTACGTAAAGTGTACCAGAAACAATTGGACAACATTATAGCAATACACAAGAGTATAATCAAGTGAAGTAAAAAATTTGCAATATATATTTTTCATGTGTTTCATAGTAATAAGTACAGATTTGTATAACTGTTTCTTCAATATATTTCTCTTGACTTACTATTAATTTTTGGCTCATTTCTTTCTTTATGCCTTTGGCTCAGTACTAGAAAAAATGGAACAGTTCATAACAGCAGCAATGAAACTATCTTTAATTTCTAGACAGAATTCCATTATGGGAGAAGAACTTGGCATATGTTATTATTTTTAATAAGCTCTCATCAATTTCTACAGTTTTATCATTTCTATTTATTGTAAGTTCGGATATCAAGGAATTGGCAGTCTCTCTTGTGTAATTATTCCCATTATCTCGTTATGTTTTATGTAAAGAAACCTTCAGTTATGAAGATTATTAATTAACAATTACTGTCACTAAAAAAGCCAAATCAAGCTGGTAGTATCGTGGTGCTGAGTAAATATATTAAAATATAAGAGTGCCAAGTGGTGTGTCTTCAACAGTAAAGTTTTTCATTGTATTTTGTAGTATATACCTTTAGGTATTTAAATACTTAATTTGTTAATTAGCTTAATGTCCTTTATTAGAGAATTGATTTTGGGGGGAATTTTAATGCAAAGGATCTCTAAAATGCAAATGATTCTACTTATTTTTTGTATTTTTGCATCATCGAGTTTCCAGTCTTGGGTTTTCTGCTTAATTTTAGTATGCAGATATATTTTATTGTAGAAAATGTTTTTTTATCTAAAAAATTAATTGCTTATTTTTAAGGAATAATTATGTACATTATAATATATATAATTTGTAACTTGGTTACATTGAGTTGTATTAGTAATTTGCAGAATAATAATTTGAAGCAACTTAATTGTACATGTAATGACATTCAGTATGTATACACTATGCATGTTAATTGTAAATTAAAAAATTAACTTTTTCATTAAAATACAAGACTGTTTTCTGTAAAAGAAAGAATAAAAAAAGTGGATTAAATTGGATGAAAAGGGCTTGGAGTTTGTTTTCATATTTCCGCGATTCAAACAGTTTAGGTCAGTTGAAGTAATTAATGAAAATCATTAGACTTTAAAAAAGTCATGAAGGTGTTTAAAACCCAGTATTTTATACTACTGTCTGTCCCATTAAGACATTTTTTCTGTCAATTATTTTTTATTATTTTTGCATACTTTTAATGTATATCTTTAGAAATGGATGCTTGAATATGATTATGTAGGTATGGAATTTCTATAGAAATTTGAAATTTTAGAAATAAATTTTTCACTTTTAAGGACCTTACAATGCTGTAACCCAGTTAAATATACACTGGTATGCAAAAATTAAGGACCAAGTTGAAAAATTAGATTATCACCAAAACGAAGAGGCAGAGTGTACTAAAAGACCAATCAGGATATCAACTAGGATCAGGTACAATAGCACATATACATATAAAAGCAGTTAGATGTAATGGAGAACCATTGGAGGAGTGTAAAGATTGCTGGCAGTGATATATGCACAGCATATATCAGTTTGAATGACGTTGAGTTGCTGCCTTAGTATCGAACAATCTGTTAAAATGAAATGTCGAACAACCAGTCTGTTGGATGACATCTGGATGTCGAATCTTGGAAAGACTTAGAAGGTCGAAGTGTAGCTTCAACATTCGGGATTGCTTCACCATTGTTTTATGGTTCATCATTGTTTCAGCATTTCAAACTACAGGAAGAGCTGTCTGGTGGTTTAGCAGTGGCCATCCAGGAGTAACCACAGCAGCAGACGACTGGTATAGGTGGCAGACAATGGAAGAGATTTCTAGACACATGGAGCAGCCGATTGGATGACTGATATCACTTTTTACCATGGCCAGGAGGCTACACTCTTGTGGTCTGTTTACATAACAACCTGTACGCAGGGTTCGTAGCTGTCCTTATAAGTGTTTATAAGTCCTTATATTTGAAAATAAAATATAAAGGCCCTTATAAGTGTTTACATTTTCTTTAAAGCCCTTATTTTTCGTTTTTAGTGCTTATTTTTTGCTTTTAGTGCTTTTTAAATGAACGAGCAGTTTTTCCCCGTACCAAAGCCGAAACTAAATAAACAACTTTTCTTCCTAATATGGAATGTCAGATGGTGAATCATACTCCCGGAAATAGCTTTTCCGCCTTTCTCTGCATTAACATAACCTATGGTGCACGGAGAGGTGCCCGTCGTTCTGTTGATCAAAGAATTGCGAAAGCAGTAGAAAATTCCGGTACGTTCGACATTCTTTATTCCCACCCAAATACTACACACGTTTGAATTTCTATCAAGATCTTGCATTCTCGTTCGGCTTGGTCAGTTCATATTCGTGTTTATTATGATCGTTATGTTTATATTATGAGCATATATTTGAATGTTTATAATAACATAGTTGCAGTAACTGCTGAAGTATAGTAAACTTCCAAAAATGGTTGTGTTTTAACACAGATTAGCTTTCTAAGGAATAATATTCGGAATGGCTTAAATAAAGAGAAAGTAATCGAATAGTCAAAATAATTTCATTTCTTTGGCCAATACATTATACAGTACGAAGGTTGGGAGGTTCTCCCCTTTCTGTGCAAAATCTCGAATATTGAAGCTGTTACAGTTCCCTGCAAAACAAGCAACGGACTTTTTTTTTTCGGGGGGGGGGGTCGCTTTCCAATCTGGATTGAATAGAACTAAAAGTTTTGTGGTCTATCAACCCAAGCGAAGAATGATTCTATTCTGGAAATTTAACGCAGTCTGTTGAAAATTAGAATGAAAAACAGCCCAGATTAGTAAGTCTCTTTCTTTTCCTTTATTTAGTTCTTTATTCTCCCAATCTCAGCAGCTGTTGAATCCCATTGCGTAATATCATGTAGGGAAGAATTACGGCGCACGTATTGGCAATAACATTTGCGATATTTTGCAGAGATAATTAAATTTGATATTCTGTCCGAGATTTGTTTATGAACACTTAAAAGAGTTTACTGTGCTTGCTAAGCAGAATATTTTTCTGTTCCATTGGGTTTTTATATGATGCACATATCAAAATGTTAAAAGCATTTATTTAGCAGAAAAATCTAAAGAACGGCTACGGTCTATCCCGCCCTCCGCTCCTCTTTTTCAAATTACGCTCGACTGTCCGAATATTAGCCATTAATTAATATCAAATATGCTGGTAGTTAAGCTTTTACTGTTAAAGGATGACTGTATGAAGCAAATTTCAGTCTTCTGATTTCAGAAATGTTCCTCTTTTTTACTTAAATTACTTTGCTTGCAATATTTGTTAAGGGAAAACTGATAATATGATGAAAATTTAGAAAATGTTCAGAATTTAGATTTAAATTAGTTAAATATCAATATGAGTGGAAAAATAAATTGTATTTATTATTAAGTTCCAATCGAACATAATAAATATGCCTTATTATTATTTATTTCCTCTTATTTTGAACTGAAATTTCATCATTAAATCTTGTAATATAGTTTAGTTCTGCATAGTTTTTTTTCCTCTCATTGTAAACTAGTTCTGTAAATTGAACTGTTATTTAAAATTTAAAAAAAAGTAATTATTTTCCATGATTGAGGTAATGCTTATTCTCTCAATAAATACTGCATTTCTCATATTTTAAATTACGAGTCTAATTTTTAAGGTTATGCAGTTGTGTATAATGTAATTAGACAGGTGCTTATTATTTTTTTTTTTTTCTTAAAATGTGCTTGAAAACTGCTTATAGGTGCTTATTTTTTTTAACTAAAATGTGGCTATGAACCCTGTGTACGGTATATACCATTAACATCTGCTTATTGGAGAAAGTGTTTTCTGTGGTGCAGGGAATATCAGAATTGAACAGATAATCAATAGGGTTAGCTATGCTTTGATGAGAGCAGATTTAGTCCAAGTAGCAGTTCTAGACACATATATATACATCTGGAGAGATCGGAGGAACATGTAATAATCCTTTGAACATCATCAAGAGGGACCAGTTTAGAAGTTGCGGATTTCTTGTTTGGGCAGGCATCTTGCTTGGTAGACATACTGACCTTAACCCTTTCGTGGGCCGTGGGAAGGTTACTTTCCACCTACATGTTCCTTGGAAATAAACCTGTGGGAAGCGCAAAACCCACTATAATATATTGGCTTTGCTATTATAACGTTGGAAACTCTAATTCCCACTTCAGTATTGTGCTGCCCTCTGTGTTCAATCGATTGAAAACAGAATTACCACATTTGTTTTAAAGTTCGAACGTTTTGTGTGAGATCTGTCC